CACACACACACACACACACACACACACACACACACACACACACACACCACACTGTGTCATATTCTGTAAATACCTTAGATAAACGTGTCGTGAGGAATTTTCTGCTCACAGTTTGACTCTCTTTACTGGCCTTCAGAGAGTAAAACACACGGACTGGGACACACGAGGTCTGTGTGTGGAGTGGACATCCAGGTGCTGCTCAGTCTGGTCGCTGCTAATTTACAGTTTTCAGCAGATTTGTCTTGGATTTTGTCCAAATGCTAAAAGACAAACAAACACCTCTTGAGATCAAATGATCACTTTACGGCCACCCATTTTATTTCTAATTATTTGGTTGAACAGAATGTGGGATGTGTTAACAATAAAAATGATATACAGTACATATATGATTTAAAAAAATTGTGAAGTGTATCTTATTGTTGTGTATTTTTTGTACTTTAAAGTTACCATAAACTTCCCAAGTAGCCGCACACAGAAACATTATAACAACTGAAGCATTTTGCAATTAAATAATATGATACATTTTGAATAAAATAATTGAAATCAGATGTTTTTTATGTTTGCAACATATCAAATATAAATTATTGAAGGGGAGATAGTTTGAACAACTAAATAATTTCAAGACTGTTTATATATTTTACACAAACTTTTTCTGTTGTTGTTGGTAAATTGCTTCAAAAGTTTAACATCATTTTAAAGCTTTTCAAATACCAACTAATTATGAGTCTGTGTTAAAAATCATATATTTAGCCCAAATTACTAATTTAGTAATAACTTCTGTATTGTATTCTAGTAAAAGCTTTAAACGACATGGCTTTCTTGAATAACAAACTGCATGTTTGTGTAATAAACGGCTCTTGTCCTCCAGTCTATGAAGATGAAGCAAAATTATTTTCATGAACTGCGTTCAAACTGTTTCCTTGGATTCAGTTCAAAAGCCATCACTAAAGCTGAAATATACACATTTTAATTAAAAATCCTGTTTTATTTCCATCAGCTGTTCTGCCTTGTTGTGTCTGAAGTTTTGTAACATAGTAAATATCTAAGCAAACTGTATTTTCAGAATAAAATGCTAATGTTAAAATCATAATAATGAGACTCTTACAACTTCTGAATTCTGACACAGTTTGTTTAAATCATTTATTTAACATATCGTAACTCAGTAATATCTGGACAAAAGGACCACACTGGTGCTCGTGTTTCGAGCGGAGCAGCATAATGTGGAGAAATCCAGACGACTCGGAGCAGCCTGTAATGTTTTTCATGTGTTGTGCTGCCTGGTCGCAGCACCGGCTCAGATATTTGTTATTCATGAAGGAAGCGGGGTGAAGAGGCCTTCTTATGATGCACATTTTTTCTCGCCATTCCTCCCTCCCATCCTCCTCTCCAAAGAGCTGAGCGCTAAGAATACAATCAGTTAAGAGTCGTACTGAATACTGCAATTAATTCAGCTTAATGAGCATAACACTATTAGTTAATTGAGATTATTGTTTCTTTAAGCTCAACCTGAAATCATTTAAACAGAACTCTGCTCTCTGCCTCTCTCTGTTTCCTCTCCCCTCATCCTCAATATGCAGATTAGTGGTTTCTGTCCCCCGGGCTATTTTCTTTTCCTATTTCTTCTCTTTCTTTTTTTAAGGGGGGTGGGCTTTTGAAATATGCAAATGCTTCCCAAAAAAAAAAAAACTAAAAAAAAAAAAGACCTTCATCTGGACACCAGAAGTTTTTCGTTCAAAGATTTTCTCTTGTTGGCACTGCTGTTTGTTTGGTTTACTTTCGCAGTCAAGCGTTCATCTAATGAAAACAGAACAAACCAAGTTTTAAAAAACTTTGTTTTTGAGGACACTGTTGTCACTTTTATCAGCACATTTAGTTTCACTGATTTTTTTAAAATTCATACTCTTCCCTGAAAATGGAATTTAGTGTGTATAGGGGTCATGTTCAGGGGCACCATTGAGGGAGGGCTTGTGGGGCAATGCCTCCCTTTATAAAATTGCTGTCCCCTCTCACTGGTCCGCCTAGTGAGAGCTTTTAAAAAAGTTCTTAAAAAAGTCCTTGAACCACAAGACTGATAGGAAACTTTAACTTTCTTAACTTAACTGTTGGAGTCAATTGTATGGCCACAACAACAACCTAAGCAAATCCAAAATTTATTTTAATTCATAGAATGTTACACATATTGAACTGAAATTTAGTGTGGTGGCTAAGAGTCCTGACACATATTTTGAGAGCCAAAAACTTTTGTCAGTTTTTTAGAAACTTTGTAGACAGCACACAATCTAAATTTTTTCAAGGAGTTTTAGCTTTAATTATGAATATTACATTAAGAGAAAAGAAAACAGGTCTCAGTGAGTTAGTGATTGTGCTGTTCAGTGTTATCAACAGCAAAGTTAAAAAAAAAAAAAAGGTAAATCTACAGTACCTATAAAAAAAACATTAAAAAACAGGGTGAACCAGGATCAGGTCCATCCTGACATTCTCTGATGTTCTTTTTGATGACCCAGGTCATAACTCCAACTGTGCATGAAGGAGGAAGGATCCTTTTCTCATATCCTGATTGTAGTGAACTAAGCCTCAGGTCAAAACCTGACCCTGAGGACCTTCATGGGACAGAAACTGTTATTTCATTGATTTGAGTCCAGAAATACAAATTAAGCTCATCCAGAGACTTTCTAAGTGTGTCCTGCACTAATCAATTGAAAGAACACTCTCTTTTATATTGCCATTACTATTTTTACAAATGTCTTGATAATCCAAAAGTGTGTTTAGTTCAAATCATTTTAAATGTTGAAGTGAACTACTCATTTTAAATCAACTGTGAAACAGTATTAATGATTTTTAATCCTCATTCAAAGTAGAAATCAAGTTAATGTCTGTTACAGAGTAATTATGCATTTTTTGATCTTCTGTCTGAAATGAGAAGGAGTGATGTCGGTCAAAAGTCGGAGACAGTCGCAAACAAGTTTATTGGAACGAACTGTCATGTTTTTAAACCTATCAGACAGAAATAAGAAACTGGTGGCACCTGTTTCCTCTCATTTTGCCAAAACATTTCTCTGTCTGTTCCAAAAACATCTCACTGTTTTTCTGACTTGTAGTAACCTCTTACGTCACTAAAACCACACCCCTGTTGGTTCTTTCAACCAATCAGGATTTCCCAAAAAGGGACCGGAAGCGAACTCTTTAAAAAGTCGACACTTCCTAGTTCCAGTCAGTTCTGGGGAAGAACAGAAGTTCTGGGGAAGAACAGAAGTTCTGGGAGCAGAACCGAACGAAAGTTCTGAAGGGCTGGAGTTAGTTGGGAGTTCTTCCGAGTCTCGTGGGGATTATGGAATCTTCCACATCTGAGTGGAACTCTGACGGGCTCACAGCTCATGTGAGTCCACCCGGGAGGTGAGCGTGCTGTTGAACGAAGTACCGTCACT